TCCCTACATTTTAGAAGCAAATATTATACTTTTACTCCACTACTTTTATTTTATAACTTTAGTTACTTGTTATTTTTCAAACCTTTCGGTACTTCAAATTATAAGCATATAACCTAGTTAAAACTAGCTCCCTTCTTACAGCTGCAACATTAAATGTGATGTACACAATAATTCATCAGTAATTAGAATCCAATAATATGATATACATTAATGTTTGATGTGCCATTTTACATATTGAATACTTTTACTTTTAGTACTTTAAGTATGTTTTGATGCCAATACTTTTGTACTTTTAAATGACATTTTAAGTGCAGGACTTTTATACAAAGTATTTTTACACTGTTTTGCTTAAGTAAGGGATCTGAGTACATCTTCCACCACTGTCATGCATGAGCGGTCACTGGTCACACTAACTTACCATCTCTTTGTCTGTTGTTGGTTGATGCTCTTCTTTTCATTCTCTGCTCTCTACTCACTACAACCGATAGAGACAGAAGGCCACCCACCAACAGCCTGTTTCTTTCTACAGGTTCTCTTCCATTAAAGGGACTTTTATCTCCCCAGTGTGCTTGCTCAAGGGGATTTATTGGGTTTTTATTATATTAGTGTAAGGTTTTAACCTTACTATAAGTGCCTTGAGGTGATTTCGTGTTGTGATTTGACACTGTATAAGGGGGCTATATAAATAAATTGATTTGAAATTAATTTGAAATGCATCTTGGAAAGCATAGAAAGCTTTCTAATCAACTACTTAAAAACAGGAAATGAACTGAAATTGTAGTCTTTTGTTCTCTCAATCAGCTGCGCCACACCACACTCCCGTCCAGCAAGTGGCGGTAATGCTGAGCTGATTGTAGGCTAATATGAGAACAGCTTTTTTATTATCGGTAGAAGAAAGAAAACGAAGAAGAAGACGAAGTTAACTCTGCCTCAGTAGGTTTATTGAGGGGTTGTGAACAGTTCTCCTAAGATTTTAGTATTAAATAATCAAGACGTCGTACGCAATGAGGTGATTATATTTCAGTGTGTTGAGCATTAAATTCCATCGTGTTTAACGGTTTATACAAGCAGAGTGTTGATTGTAATGGTTAGATCATCTGGCCTAGTTTAGCCAGCTATGCTAGCAGCGGGCTTTGTTTCTTGGGTTCTAGCGTTAATTCGTTTGGTAAAGTTAACGCATTCATTGTAGGATTTCAGTATTTCAAGTGTCGATGATTTTTTACTCTAACGAGTTATTTAACAAGTGCTCACAAGGCTAACGTTAGCTGTCATCGCCTTGCCAAGTACGTGAACGAATGAATGAACCTAGCTAGGCTAATGTGTATGGGAGCGTGAGTTTAGACAGAAAGCATTCATGTTCTTAAGGGGTTTGAAATGTACCCGAGCAGAGCCACCAAGGCCTCTCTACTTTAGGTTAGCTTTGACTTGCCAATGTTTGTGAGCTGTTCCCACATGTTACTGTGTGTTACTGTGTTTGTGTCCAGAGGGGACCGCGGCAGGGGGCGGGGAGGCCGCTTCGGGTCCCGTGGAGGACTTGTCCAGGGGTGAGTTCAGCCTCTGACTTCACTTGTATTTATCTTGAATGCATCATGGCTGAAAAGCCTAGTCGGCTGCTCGTTTTAGGGCTGGATAAAAATACCGATTTTTCTAATTAGTCGGATTCATTGTGATTCATGCTTGAGCTATTACCTATCGATTATTGAAATCCCGAGGTTGATCGTTGCGTTTACCCATTTCCTCAGTAAACATGTACAACTGCGCCGAGTGTGTATAAAGAGGTTAGTTACTGTGAGCAGTTCAGTCCGGACTAGGGCTGGAGTTTGATGCCGTTTTATCTAATCTGAATCCAGTTCTAGATCCACTTATCAAATCTAATTAATTATAATAATACATTTATACATATAGTACTTTTCAAGGAACTCACGTTTCTTAGTATGCAAAGATATATTTTAATTTCACAGCAAAAAAACTTTATTTTTTGGAACAAACAGTGTAATATTTATCAATCTAGCTCCAACCACAACTGGTCATTGTGGTCATAGACCAATTTACCAGACAGTCTAACACTGACACTAACTACAGTATGAACCACTGAGCCTAAACCATGGATTGCCTGCTGAGAGAGAGAGAGGGAGAGGGAGAGAGAGAGAGTGTGTAATGCCTTGGCTTAGGGAAAGCTACCAGTTATGGCGAGATGAAGCTTCATGAAGCCTTGAAGACGTCCAGCCATTTGGTTCACAAAATGGTTCATTTCTGGAGGCTTCATGTGCACACAAACTCCCCTGCTGGTCAAAGACTTTAAGACAGGCAGATGTGTTCATAGTCACTTTAACTGGGTCTGATATACTCAAGAGCAGTCTCACCACAGTTTGGGCATGGGAATGATGACTGCCACTTAACTATGCATTTTTCTCTTGCGAGGACAAGATGATAACCCATTCACACAATGTGTTTTTGTATCCCTCTATTAACCTGTTTGTTTGTACATAGTGTGCATAAGAGTTTCTTGGCTAATGCATTCTAATTGACGTTCCATGGTAGTGGGACACATACCAAAGTGAACCTCCTCCTTTACATCAATAGTTGAAAAAGTCATATAATAATGACAGGGGGACAATTATGTTTTCAAACTGTGGCAGTTAACAAAGTGAACGTGCTTGTAACAGAGAAGGACAGTGAAGGTGCTTGTGTGACTGATGTAGGGGGACACTTTATTCATTTTTATTTAAAAACGATATTTGGGGTTTAAGCAATTCCTCATTTTGGAAATGCGTAACTCACGAACCCTCACTACTTCAACACTACCCACAAGTTGTGTGGAGATTGTCTTGGGCTTTATATCTGCCAATACATCGCAGAAAAATTTGAACCACCTCTTGAACTGCTACACACAGCGAGGCTTCAAACTTAATCGATGGTGTCACTCACCATAAACAATACAAGCCTCGATGCGCACTTCACTAAACAATTCCTGGATTTGTTGACTTCAAAGCGTCGGCACAGTACGTCATACCACTAAAACTACATCCAAATCTCTGACATATAGTAGACACTGAGGAAATGACTGGCTACACATGCAATGCAATTCTATTTACAGTGTACCCAACCTGCAGTAAAACAGGAAATACACACACTTCAAAAAGCAGTGTGCACTCACTAGGACTGATGTAACACACATTCGTACAAATATTGTGCTTCATTTTTTAGGTGGTTTAAAAAAAGACTGAAAGTAAACTTTAAACTTAACACAATGTTTTGTTTTTATTACAGTTTAATTTTTCATTAAAGAAAAGTTAGGAAAATGTTTCTGTATGCTGTTAATTGTTAATGCTGTCAGTTACAGCTACAAACTGTCGATCTTTTATTTATTCCGATTTAGGTACCGTCCATTTGTCCCACACATCCCATTTGATTTTTATGTGGTGAGTACAAAGCGTTTCCCTGTTCTCTCTGCTCACAAGTTTAATTTTGTTTCACATCTGACTGCAGCCAGCGTCTCTTTGAACATAGCTGGGTGTAGTCAGATGGGGCTCGTTGCACCTGTGGCCTCACCTAAGGCCTAAAGCATATTTCACACAAGTACACAAATGACAGTGCCTGGCACAATGCACGTCTCCAGTGAACATAGTCAACAGTCACTGTAACAGAATGATGGAGGTGTTCAAGCTCTGTCCACAAGGTGGCGATATCTGACAGTTGAGGGTCAGAACACTTTATGACCACAGAAGTGAACAAACATGGAGGAACATTTATTGTTGTACTTGTGGTTTAGAGCAGTTACAATTTCAGCCAGAGCATTTTCAATTGCATTCCTGTCTGAATGAAGAGGTGACGAAGTTCAGCTATATGTTCATGAAACTGCTCAGTCATGGTTGCTCTGAACAGAAGTTAACCCAAACAGAAAGGATCGGCTTTCTGTTGTTGTTTCATGCCATAGCACCCCCTAGCGGCAACGCTCAGACTACAAGTTGCACTTGTCATGATAGGATTTTCAGGTGACGCAGGTGATGCTTGTGTACTAGTATGAAGTATATTTTGCGCCTAAGAGTGATGTTGCAGTGTCCAGGGGCTGTATTAACAGGGATCTTATTGCACCACCAGGAGACTTCCTAAATGAGGCTAAAGGTTTCTAACAAGGAGTTTCTTTTCACAAAGCTGCTGAGAGCAGTTTTTACTAAAGAACCGAGAGAACTCCTGAGATAAGAACAGGAGCAAGGTTGACCTCGTTGCTATTGATGACATTATGTTTCATGAGTGAACTTCATCATGATGTCCACAGTGACTACTTAGTGTACTAGATGTGAAAATGTTCATTAATACATAGGAGCATTGAAGAACACTTGAAATTAAAATAAAGTAAGATATCAATGCATCAACTGTATTGTATCTGGCTTTGTATACCATCAAAAAATGACGTGACTTTGTCCCACCTGAAATCAAATTAGTCCGGCAATATTCATGAAACCACTTTTATTCATCTGTTGATTGTAGTTGATTTAATTCCCATTTATTGAACTGAGGTCAAACTGGGGCCTGCAGAATGCACGTTGCCTTACTGTTGTGTCCAAGTAGCATAGAGGTATTCAAGCATCACACCTTCTGTTACAGGATTGGGCTGAAGTGTCGGTCAGCCAGTAGAATCCTTTGTAAAAGTTCATTATAATTACCAGCTCTGTGACTTTGGAGTCCTCTGGACTGCCTCTGTATCTCGTCAATGTATGACCTACCTATAGCGCTAAAAGGCTTTGTGAGTCACTCTGACAAAAAAATTTATGGAGTCTTAAAGTTTGGCCAAATACTACATGCTTTGTCGGTATGGGCCCTGGTGTTAAGCAGGTGTTAAGTTACATTAGTTATGCTTATGGCCATTTTTCTGCATGATTGATGTGGAGGAGAGAATGTTCTCTTGATAAAGGTACCTCTGTAGTTCACTAGTGTGAGTAGGCTGGTAGTAAAGCAGATGAAGCACTGAGCAGCAGTGCGAGTACTGAAGCATGCTTTTGTTTGTCACAAGTGTGAGATGGCCTTCCCCAGAGTGAAGCCAGCACCTGACGAGACTGCTTTCAGCGAGTGTCTACTGAAGAGAAACCAGGATCTGAGCCCCACACCTGCAGAGCAGGTCAGACCACAGACCTGCACAGGCGACATGTGTTTGTCTCATCAAATTTGTTTTGTGCATAGTATGTTGTTTATGTTGGCTGATTGACAAAAAGCTTGTTTATTGGTCTCTTCTGCCTTTAGTCCTCCATCTTGTCCCTGGTCACAAAGATCAATAATGTCATTGACAACCTGATTGTTGCACCCGGCAACTTTGAAGTGGTGAGTCACGTATCATCTCACTATACACTGTACCTGTATAATGTCGTGGCTAGAGTGTGATACCGACTAAATAAATTCAAACAAACCATTACAATTTAAAGGATCATTTAATATTACAATTATTCTGAATAGAGTAGTATTTAAACACATAATCTTGTAGTTAGGGAACAGAGAACAGAGACTCTCCTCTTGCAATGGAATAGATAAAGCAGTCTAAGTCTGTCTTATCAGCTTTGCAGCTGACTATATAGCTATTTCCTAACCTCCTGCAACTTGTCAGTTTTGACATCCATCGGGCCCCCACCCTTCTCACTCCTCTATTCTGGCAACCCCTAGCCTGTACTGGAAAACAGGAAGCTTGACTCAATGTTCCTGCAGAGGCCCTCACAAAAGAACAGAGGGTTCATCTCTGACCATACTTGGGATTCTACTAGGATTCTTAGAACTATGCTAATAAGTATTAACTATATTAAGTTTGCTTTTACCACTCTGAGATGTACTTCAAAAACAGGAAACATCTTGACCACTTACATAAGCCCATTGTCCAACTCACATGAACTTAATGAACCCATAACCACTCAGCTCTCCCTCACACAAGCTAATAACAAATAATGTCTATATGAGCTACATACTGTTCTATTACATATTTCTTCTGAAATCTGGTTTATTGCTAACCACTACAATAATAATGAACTTGTTTGTATGATTTGAATAGCTTCCTAGGTGATCAGTTTGGTCACAGTACAAATGAACTGAGAAACATCTCTGTGTCACACTGTCACTGTGAAATGTTATTAT